TCATCTGGTAAAATAGGTGACTTCTATTGAAATATCCAACTGTAATATCCTCACCTTGGTATGTGTCCTGTTCTCCAACAATCTATGTTTTAAGAAAGAAAAATACCCCGAGTGCTCGAGTTCAGCAATGCACTTAGCATAGGCATGATTTTAAACCCAAGAGTAATCTATTTAGATAAATGTGTTACTGAATGAAAACTGCAACGGTTGTTTCATATCGCTTTCATGCATGCTGTAGTAATTTTGCAATTTTCTAGTGAAAATCTAAGATGGCTGAACTTTTAGACAAAAAAGAAGATTTTGGGTTTTTTTAGGTAGATTCCTCCTACTTCCAAATACTGCACCATCACTACTAGAATAATAAACATAGTGGATAAAGGCATCTTACATGGAAATAATATAAAATCTTTGATAAGGTGATAAATCTTAAACATTTGTAGAAAACATTGCTTTTTCAGATATCAAGTGAAGAGGAAATGTTTTCCTAATCTCAATCCTGAAGGAATTAACATGTTTCCTTTTTGCTGACTTTAGTCACTGCCATTTCTAAGATAATACTGTGTGTGCTTGTAGATTGCTCAGGAGTGTAAAAAGACCTTTTCAAAGCAGTGGATGAAGGTAGTCTATCATTTCAATCTTGTCTGTATTTTTCCTATTTACTGTTTCCTTCCTCTGATGAGGCAATGTAGAATTATATTATGCTGTGACTCATTCAAGGAATGCAGATGAAATCATTTTGTCCTCTTTTTGCATACTGTTGTAGTATCATATTTTCTAAATCATACTGGCAGTACGACTGTTTGTCACACACCCACTGGCTCGTTTGTAGTGATAGACCTGGTCTAATGCTGCTGCACCCATCGGGTAGAATTTAGAATCATGGAATCATAGAATTGCCTGGGTTGGAAGGGACCTTTCAGATCATCGAGTCCAACCATCAACCTAACTCTGATAAAAAAACCATCACTAAACCATGTCTCTAAGCACTATGGCTGCCTGGCTTTTAAATACCTCCAGGGATGGTGCCTCCACCACTTCCCTGGGCAGCCCATTCCAAGGCTTAATAACCCTTTCCATGTAAAAATTGTTCCTGATATCCAATCTGAACCTCCTCTGGCGCAGCTTGAGGACGTTTCCTCTTGTCCTATTGCCCATGATGTGGGAGAAGAGACCGACCCCCACTTCTCTACAACCTCCTTTCAGGGAGCTGTAGAGAGCAAACTTACTCAGAATGTCTTTGGTCCTGAAGCCCTTGGCAGTTTTCTTGGAACAAGTCCTGCAGAATGCATTTTTGGGTCAAAGGAAATTGGAATATTTGCCTGGAGGCTGTTTGTCTTTGTGGTTCTCGAAGCTTCCACATGCAGCTGGTTGAATGTTAACAATGGCCTCTAAGCAAGAGATCACATTATGAACAGAATATATATGGAAAAAAAAATGATGGTTATCAGATATCACATTTAGACTCCCATTAAAACAATCAATAGCTGAAATATGTTTTGGCTAATAACTCAAATAGTCCATAAAGTATTAGTAAGATAGTATTTTTTAAGGAACTTGGTTTGGGGGTTGGTTTTTTTTTGTTTTGTTTTTAAGAGTATACATTGAAAATAACAGCAAACCAAAAAGCTAGCCACCAGTTTGGAAAAACTTGACTCTTTTTAGATTGCTTTGCAAACAAGGATATGACTCTCACATATATTGCTCTTTTAATATATCTCTGTCATCACCTTTGAGAAAGCAGTGGATGAAAAGTTCCAAACACAACATTTTGGTCATCATTTTCACTTTTTTTGCTGGAGGAATTTCTATCTGGTGTCTGGCAATAAAGAATCAAGTCTACCTTGGAGTTTATGCTTTTGTGTACATTAGTCTGCAAGAAAAAGAAATGAAAATGTTTTTGTAGTACCAGGGACCAGATAAGTGGGTCTCATATCTTAGGCCTTCCAACATTAATGATGCTTCCATCATGGTACAACACGCTTTTCTTGGAAGACATTCAGCAAGAATAAACCAGGGAAGAATGTAGCATAAACAAGGACAGATTAGAAAATACATCTCTGATTGTATAATAAGCTTCTGAAGCATTCAGAAGCTCTTCTGGATTTATGCTTCTTTCTAGTGTATTGATAAAGAATTTTTAAGCGTTTTCATTTTGCTGTGGAGGCGTCATGAGTAACATTACTGTTGAAGAAGAAATCAGAATACTCCAAGTAACAATTCTTTTGGCATGCAATAATACTGTTTGTGACTTTTTTTGTTGCTCGAGTCACATGAAAATCTATTCCGATATGAATGCACACGTAAGAAATACAAAAATAAGTTGAAAATTGGATGTGAAAATGAGGTCCAGATATGTCAAACATCTTATTCACCCATCCACCCACTCAGTTCACGCAGCCATCTCCTCCTACAGTGGGAAATTGTATGAAATGGCTTTTTTGACCAGATAGATTTAAAAGATTATTTTTTTTTCCATGTTTTTCAAGAGGCAATGGGCTACTTAAATAAATGTGATTTCTAGAGTAAGATGAGAATAATTTCGGTTGTTCATGTCTGGTTTGGGTTTATGAAAGCTCAGAATGGGAATGTATTATAAAAACTTGAAAATTCTGATGGGATAAAAGAAGCAACTCCTACTTCTAGATATATATTTTTTTATGACCGCAGTATAAGCAGAGGAAGTCGGAGTAATTTTCCTTTTAATTAAACACAAATAAAATATCAACATGGCTCTAGAGAAGAGTACATCGCTTCTGGTTCCTGCAATTCCATGCATATCCTTCTAAGCTTGAATACGTGCTTGCAGTAAATGTGTATGTATGTAATGAAGGAGGATAGCTCTATTTTAATGCAAAGGCAAATGATGCGATTTTTGAGATCTTGCTTTTTGAGTGGTTATTTAATTTGCAATTTCTTCTCTCCCTATTTGAATACCTTTTGATAATGGTCCAAAGTTATTTGCTTCTGTTTGACTGTCACGTTTAGAAGAGCCTGTTTAACAAGGTAGGTTTTTAAAGAGTTAGTAACCAGAGCATTACAAACCAGGAATAGAGCTATAAATGATTCATAGAAATCATTTCCAAAATTAGGTTTACAGCTTCTGGGCTTCATACTTTTGTTGCCTCGAGGAGTTTTGTGTTCCGTGGAACTGCCTCCTTAGGTGAGAGTTGTTATGAATTTACATAGAGCTTTCCATCATAAATAAACCATCCCAGGGGCAAAAAAGAAAAGGAGATAAAGTAATTTTGTGTGTGGAGGGAATGGTTTTGAGAAGGTACAAACAAATAGGTGACTTAAAATTCAAATATATTAGATAACTGTGAGAGTCATAAAATTCAGATAGGGTGAATATGGAGTTCTGCTTGGTCTCAAAGGTTAATTCAAAGTTTAGTGTAAAGCAACTGCGGAGAGTGAGAGTACAGAGGGAAAGGAACTTTTTTTTAAGAATAAGTTATTTTTTCCCCAAGGTTTTACTGCAATACATTTTTATGATTCCCAGGCTTTGCAAAATTGAATTGCATTTTTCTTACTCTTTTCATGCCTGAATAAATTCAAAGGAAGATAACCTTTACGTAAATAGCAGTTATATTGTGTTAAGAGCTACACACCGTTTCTTCAGAGCAGAATCTGTATGTACTTGGGATTCATCCAAAGAAGGATGGTGGGACTCCTGGGATGCTCATTTAAAAGAATAGATACAAGGACTATTTTTTAAATCGCTGTCAAGGCACTGGAGTCAGCTGAGGTGGGGGGGAAGCTTGAAGACCAAGCCTGCTGTAATTACTGTATTTTTCTTTTAAAAAGTAACAAAGGAGGGGGAAATATTCTTGCATATACTTCCCTGTGGTGGGTTAACCTTGGCTAAGGTCTTGCCCCTGGCCCAGCCACTTGCTCTCTTCTCAGCAGGACAAGGGGAGAAAATTGGATGAAAAAGCTTGTGGGTTGAGATAAAGACAGGGAGATTCCTTACCAGTTACTGCTGTGGGCAAAACAGACTTGACTTGGGGAAAATTAGTTTAATTTATTGCCAATCGAAACAGATGTAGGTAATGAGAAACAAGAAGACAAACATTAAACCCACACCTTTCCTCCCACCTTTCCCAGGTCTAACTTGGCTCCTTCACTCTGCACTTCTTTCCCTGCCCTCTGAGCAGGGAATGAGGGGTCGGGGTCACCCCTTAACAGCTCCTCTCTGCCCCTCGCAGAATCACAGAATGGTTGGGGTTGGAAGGGACCTCTGGAGATCATCCAGTCCAACCCCCTGCCAGAGCAGGGTCACCCGGAGCAGGTTGCACAGGAACATGTCCAGGTGGGTTTGAATGTCTCCAGAGAAGGAGACTCCACCACCTCTCTGGGCAGCCTGTTCCGGGGCTCTGCCACCCTCAAGGGAAAGAAGGTTTTCCACATGTTCAGGTGGAATTTCCTGTGTTCCAGCTTGTGTCCATTGCCCCTTGTCCTGTCACTGGGCACCACAGAGAAGAGCCTGACCCCATCTTCTTGCCACCCTCCCTTTCGATCTTTATAAACATTGATAAGGTACCCTCTCAGTCTTCTCTTCTCCAGGCTAAACCAACCCAGGTCTCCTCCCCAGGTGCCCCTCCTTCCTCCTTACACTTTTCATCTCCTCTGGCATGGGCTTTCCCCATGGGATTCAGTCCTTCAGGAAAAAAATCTACTCTGTTGTGAATTCTCCACAGGCCTCAGTCCCTCCAGGACATATCCCCCTGCTCTGGTTTGGGTCCTTCATGTGGACATCAGCTCAAGTGCGTGCTCCTTACCATGGGCTCCAGGGGAGTATCTGCTCCTCTGACGTTGCTGTTTTGGTTACTAGATGATCTGGGATGATATGATTGAACCACAGATGTTGGCTTTTCAGCAAAACTATCCTTTTCATTAGGACAATGTTGTAAGTAGGGTGTGTAGTCAGAGATAACACCCTTCTATGTCTTACCCATGGAATATGATTGCAAATGTTTTCATTGCATTTTTCCACACTTTAGATTGCAAGGAGATAATTTGGCAGAAAGGCCAGAAGATGTCTCCATGGTATCTCAAACATCTGAGGCAGCAGTGCCAGACTCTGATGGTAAGTTGTATAAATATTTGCTGCTCATAAAAAAAGCCCCAAACACCAACATCTTGAATTTAAGAGTTGGGGTTATGTCTGTAAAAGAAGATTAAACATTTCCAGAGGGTTTTCCTGGGCATTTGAACTCAACTGTTTACATGTCAAATCTGTTAGAAGAACCTGTAATGTGATATTTTTGTCATGGCTGGTTAGCACTCCAGAATAATTCCTAGGCATATTTTGGGAGCTGCCTTGGGCCAGAATTCTTTCTTATTAGACAGTTTATATGTTAGCACACTATTTCGGATGTAAAATAGCTTAATAGCTTAGACATTCCCTGTTCATTGCCAGTTGGTCTCTATGCCAGAAAATGGTCTTTGAAATATTTAATTTAATAACAAGTGCATCCACAAGATGCAAATAATATACAGTAAAAATAAAAAGAGTTACAGAATTTCTCCCCTGTTTTTAAATTAAGTATTAGAAATACTTCTCTGATATCTCCAAGCACTGCTGACTAGAATCAAAACACAACAAAAAGGAGTTTATACAATAGCTCTGAAGAACATTTTTTTCTCCTCATACAAACATAATAATACATTGCACTAATCTGCAGTCAGGACACTCAGCCTTACTTCAATTTCTGCTCAGGTTTTTGAACAAAAAAACACCTGAAAACTAATGAAAAAAGCACTTCCTAAGGGATATCTTGCCAGAGAATGCTCTGCTTTCCTATGAAAGATTAAGTTGATGAAGGTTAACTTTATCTTAGCTGTCAATGGAATGGAGACAGAAGGGAATAGAGGTTTGGACAGAGAATCTGCAGAGATAAATCTTTCATTCTGTTCCTTTACTGTTGGGCTGAACCAGCTGAGACTATGAGTTGGAAGATTTGATTTGCAGTTTAGTCTTCAGCAGCCACAGACAAGTTGGCTGTGTTGATTAATTAATGCAAAACAAATCAGACCTAACTTTTGTTTTTAATTATCCTACTAATTGTCTGCTATTTAGTGCTATTAGGTGCGCTATTGACTGTGATGGCAACCCGGGCTTTCACTCATTTCTCTTGCCTCATTTGTAAACCAATGTATATGTCAGCATTAGTAACTAGTATGTCTTTAAAGATAATTTTTTTCAAACTGATTTGTGAGAATGCATGGTTTCGTGCAGTCATGCCATTTGTTTTTCCTTTCACCTGCCATTGATTGTTAAAAAAAAATAATAGGGGACTCAGAATCTATTTTGAGATATTCTTATGAGCTTGATGAAGATTGTCAGCAGGAGAGACGCAGACGGGTGACTGCAGTCAAGCCATGTGAAAAGAAGGCAAAATTCTTCTGTTGTGAGAGTCATCCCCAGGAAGGGACAGGTGGTGGTGGCACTTGTTTGGGATGGGTAAGGGGATATGCAAGCATGAGAATATTGCAGCAGAAACAAGTAGAGTCTTTGGTAAGACACACATGTAGGAAAAAGTACTACATTTACTGAAACAATTTGGTTGGACCACTTTGCATGCTTCTGGATACTCTGTAGTCAGTATGGATATAGAGAAGATGGAGAACACGTTCCCTAAAGAACCACCTTCCATAAAAATATAGGTTAGGTAGGTGGGGGAATGACATCCATGTTGGTATAAACACATGTATCTCGTGTCTGTGAATACAAATGAACCTGTTAGTCATGTAGCTAGAAAATAGCGCAGCCCCTAGGGCAGAAGGACTGAGGTCAACAGTGAGGTACTGCCAAATTTCTGTCAAGAGGTGCTCTCAGAAATGTTCAGCCTTTCAAAATATTTTTTTTCTTCCTAAGATATTGGCTAGCAATACATTTTGATTTGAAAAAAGCACAGCTGGATTTTGCAAGTAGGCACAGACCAGAAAAAGGCACAGAACTCAGGCAAATGCCCATTCTATCAACCTTTCCTATAAATGCAGCACATTACGTGTTTTCTGTTTGATAGTTATTTCCAATGAATATTATGTATGAGAGCAAGATGATAAAAGAGGCTCCTACAAATATTGTTAGAAAACCCTAAGTAACCAAGGCCTCATGTTGCACCAAATTTTTAGTTATGTCCTCTTGAGAATGTATTATATCATGAAAAAGTGACTAACAGGCTTCACTTACCAGGTTTATTTGAATTTATTTGCTGCTCTTACTTATCACTACTGATGACCTTACTGAGAGAAAACTGTGCATTGGGAAGTGCTGATGTAAACCATTTGTTCAAGAAAATGCAAGCAAGGTGCTGATGCACAGCAAAGTTGAGGGTAGCTTTCTTTAGATAATGATCTGTTTCTGGGTTAGTGGGAAATTGTTAAGTTGTTAGATCTGGAGCATCTCTCTTGTGGGTTTTGGATGAACTAGGTTCAGAAGTAATTGGCAGCACATTTGATCAAACAGCCCTTATAAATGAGCCTTACTAAAGCAATTCCACCTAATAAAGTCAAAGTAATAGCTTGTGTAAAAAGATCATCTGCAGCATCAGGCGCTACACTGACCACTGGCAATCTGGATCTGGTTCTAATTAACCATGAGGCTGATTTCCCTCTAGTATAATCCTGCTGAATTGGACAGAGTTGTGTTTGATCTAAGTAATAAAAATGGGAGATGGGAATGAGGTCTCAGGATTGGAGAACACAAGACGCTTTTATGCTGCAGTTTCTTTTTACTGTCCTAAACTCTACCCCTCAAAACTGTTTCTCTTTCCCATTGGACCACTTCACAGGAAAGAACTAAGGGAAGAATTTAATAGCCAGGTTCTTGATTTTGATTAGAAGAAGCATCTTCAGTGACCACACAGCAGATTTCCCCTGTAGATGCCAAGCCTGTCAGGTTTGTCTGTTGGATCAGTCCTCCATTAAGCCTTGGTCTTCTGTACAGATAAATGGGGAGAACAGCGGATGCTTCAAAAGACAGATGCTGCAACAGGATTGATGCAGTAAAATGTCTGCATCTGTCAACCCCCAGTCTGTTTTTCAGGTTGGGGGGATTGTAGAAGTCAACTACTACTGTGTTGTGTTTTTTTTTCAAATTTGTATATTAAGAAATAATATCCCTAAAGGGTAATAATTCATTTAATCCCGGTTGCCTATAAGTACCATAGGACCTTGCATCACTTGTTTTAGTCTCTTTTGCTGAAAAGTACCTTCCCCTTTGAGTGACAGCCATGATAGAAGGCAGGAAGACATTATTGCAAACAAGATCTTTGCAGTCAGTGCATTCTTGTAGAGGAAAGTATAAAATACGATAACTTATCAGGGAGTAAACTCTTAATACTGGAGAAATGAAAAGTGTACTACTTCTACCATTGTCTGAGAAAAGCTGTTTGTAAAGTGAGTTACTTTGCAGTGCAGTTGCAATGCCACGTATTTCTGAGGTGTGGGCAAAGACTTGCTTCTTTTGTGGCTCTACCTGGAATGGTGAAATTGGTCCGAGATTGATAGATTATATGGTACTATGCCACAGTGTGTATGTGTGGTATTTCCTCTACTATTGTGTCATTAGGTCCACAGATTATGCTGCGATATATAATATTTAGTTTGCTAAATAAATTTTACTAAGCAAATTTCATACCAGTAGCTCATTCTCTATCAAACAGGAGTCACTGCTTTTTATTATTTGCAATTAGCCAGCTCCTGTTTGAAGAAACTTGAAAAGACTAGGCTGTGTAGCTTCTACATTTTTTTTTTCCTTTAAAGTGACAATATAGTAGAAAATTCAAAACAGGCATTTGCATGTAGAGGAAAAGTTTGAAACTGGGGATGTTCAATAGAAACAGGAGTGTATGAAACACATTTAATGGTATTCCAGATAGAGCCGCATGAGCAGGGTAAAAAAATTAATAAGGATGCAAATATGTGGGAGTTTGAGTTGAGAACTAGATATGGCAGTGGCAAAAATATGTCATCATCTCCCACTTCCTGCACAGTTCTCTGACCACAACTTTGCATCATTGTCAACTCTTCTTCCTCCGCTTTCCTTTGCGTTTGCAATGAGGTAACCACCGTTGCCGTAGTTCTGACTTTATAGTTGTCTGAGATGTTTAACAAATCAGAATACTTTGGAAAGGTGAGGACCTCCTTGTGAAGTGGCTGAATAACAGCAGAACCTGGAGAAGACCAGGGCATCTTGTTTACTTAGGCTGCTTATGCACAACATCTAAGTGCCCAACAGACTCCCGGGCAAAGAGTGAAACTCCACAGCATTTTACTTGGAAATCGCTTTCTCTGACATAGGTACATAATTTCTGATGTAAGTCATTAACTTATGTGTCAAAGAGGCATTCTAGACTTCTCACCAAGTCGTGTTGTTTTACAAGTGTGGCATTAAGGGCAAAAATTATAGCTTGCATGGCTTTTCAATATTGCCTGAAGTGACCAGAACTTCTTACTTCAAGGATTTAAACTATATTCTGATTAGTTTAACAGAATTCAATGTAGTTTTGTTGAATTTATTAAAGCTGACAATCCACTACTCACTTGTGTAAAGGACAAAAATATTTAGTTTTAATAGTAAAAATAATAAATAAGCTATGAGACACCTTGGCAGCTGAAGGAAGCTTGCTTATCATACTAATCGTGTTAGAGACACCGTTCCACATTGCATTAAGCTTATAAATTAAAAGCAGACATAAAATAAAGTCCAGTGAAGTGTAACTGAAAAGCAATGCATTTACAGTAGCCACATTTACTTTCCCAGCAGTTAATTTATAGGCATTTTATTTTCAAAGTGACTAATGCTTACTTAATTAGAGTGATTTACTTCTCTTCTACCTCTTTGGAACAGCTCAGGTGCCTGGGGTTGAAACACTTACAGAAGATATTGATGAATTTCAGAGTGCCTCTCAAGTGGCAGGATCTGTAAGTATCTTCCCTTATGGATAATCCTGTAAGTTTTAAAAATAGTTCGATAAAAATTACATTTTGCATAAAGGTAAAAGTTGTGCTTAACAGCACTGTTATCCTAGAGAGAAGAAAACTTAATATACCTAACCTAACTGAATTTTCAGTTCTCTGGCTGTTTTAATCTTTTCAGTCTAGGAAGGGTGATATTTTGAAGTAAATTTTTATAATCTCATAGAAAACCATATGTTGTTGGATTTACATGTATAGTTCCCTCTGAAACTGCAGTCATTTTATACCGTGTCTGTATGTTCTTAAAGGTTAGTCAAATATGCATTTTACTAGATAATACTCAATTTTACAAAATTAAGAGAATGAAATAATGGAATCTATAAATTTCATTATGAAATATGACATTATAATATCTCAACTATAATTTAGCTTTTTGGTAATATTTACTTGGAAACTAATCAACAAGACGTGTCTATCTAAAATGTATGGTTAATTTATATACATTTTTTTAAAGAATGCAATATTATGCTTGGTAGTATTTTCATCAGTTCTTTTATTTTGAAATGTAAGAAAATCCTTCCAGATTTGGGGTTTGCAGAAGATGTAATGAGCAATCAAATAATTTTTTCTGAAGTTATGTAATCTGAATTTTGGCACTACTTGTATTGCTTCAGAAATTTGAATATAGGTTAAGGGAGGGATTGCTTTTTTTCTAAGGCAAATAATGATCATTGTCTTTATTAGCAAAATCTTGCTGTAGAAATGCACAGCCTTGCACTGAGTATTTTTAGATAGGTGCTCTGGGTGTGCATGGTTATGAACAGGCAGACGATATGTACGTGTGTCATTTAATGCTTTGTGAGTTCTATTGCTATTTCAGAATTATTAATATTTGCTAGTTGCTATTGCTTATTCAGAATAATTGTTCATAATTGTTATTCAGGATAATATTCAGCTATCCAACACTGTTTGACTGTAGCTGTACCTTCTCAGGACAGGAAAAAAAAAGGATACAACTGTTGTTGTTGCCTTTTAGGGCTCTTAAGGAATAGGAATTCTGTTCTGTGGTCCCCTAGTAACTTTCAGTACAAGTTATTATTTGACGATCTTGACCTATAAAATACAGAGGTAAGACTGAGGTTCCTCGTAGGAAGGCTGTGAAGATAATGCATTCTTACAATGGATTCCCACAAATCCTTCAAAACAGTATGAAATAACAGCTGTAAAATTACTTCAGAATTGGTACCAAAATACATTCTCGTGACTTGAAATGATTTTCAGATATTATCGGAGATACGAGATACTATATGAGATACAAGGCGAGGGAAGAATAGAATAAATATGATGTTGATCAGACATTTCCCATAAATTGGACAAATTGGTTCATGGCATTCACTCAAATGTGCATATTACATGTAAAAATTCCTGATCTGGTTCAAGGTGTGCCATGTTTAATACTGGTACTGCATCCCAATAGGGTAATTTGAGTCTGTTGCTAGTTAAATGGATCATTACCATAAATTTCTCTCTACTTGTATATATTTGACAAATTTTATTTCAGAGTGCCTTGGCCTTCAGAGAAGTGTTTTAAGAAAAATTGTGGGATAAAGCAGCAAGAATTACGCATAAGGATCTTTAGAAAAGAGCTGTGTGGGTTCTTTTTTCATGTCCTGTCTATAAATCCACACGTAAGATCTGTGATGTGGACACTAAAGAAATCTGGATGCCAGTACTTATAAGAGAGAGGCAGCATCTATGTCTATAACGTGGTTCATGTAATTTATACTATGGCTACATTATTATTTTCTTGTAACATTGAATATGTTTACTGTTCAATTTCTGAAGAATCTGGAAAATTTTGTAATTCGGACCTTTTTCCCTTTAAACCTTTTTTAATAGAATCTTTTGCTACGCTTTATTTTTGGCAAAGAGAGCTGATATTTGAAAAATCGAGAACTTAGATTTTCAAGTGCTGCTGCACAATCCCAAGCGAGGTGGACGGAGCGAATAAACGAATAAAGCTAGGGAAAAGCAGTTTGAAGTATTTACAGGAATCACCACTCTTCCCAAGTGTTTTGCAAGGATCCAAAGTGGAAGCAAGCATTCAAAAGGTCCTTAGAAATGCTAGTTTACCGCAGGGCTCATTTTCTGACAAATATTTAATGTAACAAAAAGTGCTAGGCAAAATGGATAGCGGTTTTTTTGGGGGGGATGTTTGCAGTGTGCTTAACTCAGAGTCCTCTTTTACTTTACATTTATGTAAATAAGTTTTATAAATATTTGGCTAGCAAGCTTTAAGAAAACAAAGAAGCGATACTTGGAAAAAATGAGGTAGGCTAGAATTCTGACAGAAATAGAAAAGTAAGGTATCAGGAGAAGTTACTAAATTTACACTGACTAACAGAAAGAAAAGAGGGCACATTCACTGGGCAATTCACATTGAGTAGCCTTTGCCTCCCCTCCAAGTTGCTTCTTTTACCACCTGGATCTAACAGGAATGTGCTTATTGGGTTTCTTTATGTGAGTCTTTGCCTTCACTCACCTTGTCTTGCACATAAAAAGGTATATTTTTAAATAACCATGTAAACCAAAACAATCCAAGTGTAACAGAAACTGGGGAAAACAAAACAAAACAAATGGTTGTTCAAGTACAAAAGGCACTTCTGCATGAATTTGCCTTGGGTTTTTGTGGGAAAAATACTCTAATGAATTGTTTTATAAAGGTGTTTTGTTTTAAATGAATTTTATTCTGTTTTTTCCTACTGTTTTGAAAATTTTCAGTTGCTTTCCTAGAAGGAATACACACACATGGATTTTTGGTGATAAATACAGAAATTCCTCAACGGTAATTCAATTTGTGAAATGACTTGAGGCTTCATGCACAGGGAAAAATTAAGCTTTTAATTCTTGCTATCAATATATGTTGAATGCGTCCATATCCCAGTGATATATGATTTAAATTGTAATTGTTAGAAATTTTCTTAGCTTTTCCCACTATTTTCCCTGGAAACAATGCTGAGAAGTAACATAATTACTTGTACAAGTTTGAGTATAATCGACAGCCAAATATGTCTATTTAAGATATTTAAGCTATTCAGCAAAGAAAAGGTAGGTTATACATAGAAAGCTAAGCGGGGTTTTCTTTCTTATGGTATTGTCTCCTGAAGTTACCAATAAAATTTGCACTTGATTGGCTAAGCTATGGTAGCAGAAAAAGTTCAATCAAAATGAGTTACATATATTTACATCTTGCCAGGAACTCACCAATTAACTGGGTTTCACCTCCTCTCCCTCTTTTCATTTTGATCATGCGATTCAGGTAGTCTTTAAAAATGAGAAAGCGCTTTCTCTTGTGAGGTGGGGACTGTTCCCACACCTGAAAAGAGATTGTGCGTGTGCAAGGATGTGCACTTGAGTGCCCAAGTGGTTTACTCTCAAGCAGGCCAAAATGACATAGAAGTATAATGCTGCATTGTTTGCTAACGCTTTTTATGGTCAGCACGAGAGAGTAATTCATTTTCTGATGATCACTTGATTTCCAGATGATGCTGTGGTCATTTGGAGGCCCTTTTCTTATTCGTAGCTATTCTGAAATGTTGCATGTCTATAGAACTCCCCAGGTGTCAGTGGGTTTTACACAGCCCATGTCAAGTGGTGAGATCAAGGCATGTAAAGTCAAAGAAAGGCATGAACTTAATGGATGGACCACTTGGTGGATCAAGAACTGGCTGGACAGCCACACTCAAAGGGTTGCGGTCAACCGCTCAATGTCCAAGCAGAAGCCAGTAACGAGTGGTGTCCCTCAGGGGTCAGTACTGGGACCAGTGCTGTGTATCATCTTTGTTGGCAACATGGACAGTGGGATTGAGTGCACCCTCAGCAAGTTTGCTGAAGACACCAGGCTGTGTGGCACGGTTGACACGCTGGAGGGAAGGGATGCCATCCAGAGGAATCTGGACAGGCTTGAGAGGTGGGCCTGTGCAAACTTCATGAAGTTCAATCAGCACAAGTGCAAGGTCCTGCACCTGGGTCATGGCAATCCCAGTCACAAATACAGGCTGGGCAGAGCATGGACTGAGAGCAGCTCTGAGAAGGACTGGGGGGTGTTGGTGGACAAGAAGCTCAACGTGGGCCGGCCAGAAACTGGGGAAAACAAAACAAAACAAATGGTTGTTCAAGTACAAAAGGCACTTCTGCATGAATTTGCCTTGGGTTTTTGTGGGAAAAATACTCTAATGAATTGTTTTATAAAGGTGTTTTGTTTTAAATGAATTTTATTCTGTTTTTTCCTACTGTTTTGAAAATTTTCAGTTGCTTTCCTAGAAGGAATACACACACATGGATTTTTGGTGATAAATACAGAAATTCCTCAACGGTAATTCAATTTGTGAAATGACTTGAGGCTTCATGCACAGGGAAAAATTAAGCTTTTAATTCTTGCTATCAATATATGTTGAATGCGTCCATATCCCAGTGATATATGATTTAAATTGTAATTGTTAGAAATTTTCTTAGCTTTTCCCACTATTTTCCCTGGAAACAATGCTGAGAAGTAACATAATTACTTGTACAAGTTTGAGTATAATCGACAGCTCTAAAACACCCGATCTCAGGTATTTAACTAAATCCATAAATTAATTACTGAATTGTGGTCACTATTGAGCATTTAGAAGGTTAGTCATTAAAATGAGTATTTTAAGGTTCCACTGCCACATCAGAAACAATAGCAGTGTGCCTGTGAGGTAGTATGAAATATAAAAATCATATCTGTATATTATACCCAAAAAATTAGTGTGTTCTGATACAAACGTTTTCCAGTCCAGGTTGACTTTTTTAAGTATCTGGAAATTCAGGCACATAAAGTTAAAATTTTAAATTTTAAATCTTCTGTAAAATTAATTAAAACAGCTAATATTAGATTAGTGCAACTCTTCCACAGCTAGTCCAAAAAACCCTGCAAACGTGTAAGTTTAATTACTATTAGCTAAATTAACAATACAAGAGAA